GCAAGTGATCAAGGTTAACATCACCAGTAATAAGACATACTAGTATTATGAACTCTTTGATATGATGATACATCGTTTTAATGGAATTCTCTCCAAAAACTCAAACCTCACCCCAATTATGAGAAAACATTGAACAAACCCAAATTGAGAGATATTTTACAAAATCAACTGACCAGGACTCTTCAAACATGTCAAGGTCATGAGAGATAAGGAAAGACTGTGGGGGGCACTGTCATAGACCAGAGGAGGCTGAGAAGAAATGCAATGTGGGATCATGGATAAAATTCTGCCACAGAAAAAGGACATTACTGGATAATTTGGTGAAATTTGGAAAGCTCTGCAGTTAACAAATGTTAACTTAATTTCACCAGTGCTAATTTTCTTGATAATTGTGTGTGGAGGACATTAACATGAGGGGAAGTAGGATGAAGAATACGAGGGAACCCTCTGTATTACTTGTGCAATGCTTCTGTAAGTCTAAAATTAGTTCACAATAACATGTTAAAAACTAAACAGCCTGATAAGCCAGGCAACGAGCTGCCTGTGCTGTGGACCCAGCTGTCTTGTGCAGGCCACACTGGAAGGAGCTGTGAGGGCAGCCTGGAATCAGACAGAAAAACTGGCTTCTGCAACAAGAGGAAACCTTGGCTCACTGATGCAGGACCGGGTTCCTGTGAGAGCCAGCAAGGGCGTTGTCGAGTTCTCACTTTCTGCCAGGTGGCGGCTGCCTTTGGAGCTGAACTGGCACTGAGACCTTTCTGCGAGTCACTGGCCTGGTGTGCTGTGGGGGGCAGGGATGGAAGAGTGCTCTGACCAAGCCAGGGAGGGTGTCAGCCTGCTGGGCAGGGGGAGGAGGCAGCAAGCGGGCATCTGTCTGTGGCAAGGGGGCCTGCTGTCCCCTCCTGAACAGGCATAGGAGGCTGGGCATGGCCCCAGGACCACACTGTCTTGCATCCCACACCCACCCCTTCTGGCTTCCAGCGAGCTCTGGGTGCTCACCGAGGCTTCCCTAGCATGGAGGGGTCTCCCCTAGTGCCCCTGCAGAGACAAGGGCTCCAGTGGACTGGGCCTCTGCTAGGGACCAGGGCCCCTCATGGGTGAGGGCATTGAGCTAATCTTCCAGGGGAAAATCATGTGCCCCTTTCTGCTCCTTTCAACCCTCCCAACAGTTATCTGGCTGGGGCATGGGCAGATTCCATTACACCATTTCAGTCCGAGCGTCTAGATGTATTTATTTGAATCTTGGAGGTCTCCTTGAGCCATGGGGACCCCAAACGTTTGGCTCCAGACCCACAAGAAGCAGATGGGCTCCATCTCTGAGAGGTCACTCAGATCTTCTCTGTGGATTTTGAAAGAGGCTCTCCTCCATCTCAACCACACACTCCTCACTTGATTCTAGAACTTCCTTGTGCTGTTCTTGAATCACCTGGGGATTTAGTCTTTGTCTTCGGTGGGTTCTGCTAGGAACAGAACCTGAAAACAAGCTTTTGAGGGTCAATGGTTTATTTGGGAGGTGATTCTAGGAAATACTGGTAGGGCTGTGGGGAAGGAAATGGAGGGGAGAGGAAGCAACCAAAGGGGCGGGGCTGCCAGGTGACTGCCATGGGCAGCAGAGACTCAGGAATTCTGGGCCCACTGGGACAGGGCCTTGGACAGTTTTCCATGAAGGGATGGGGGCATGGGGTGCTGGGGACTTTGTGCACTGTGGAACATTGTTTGCACACTTCTGGACGGCCTTGCCTACATGTGGACGTGGACCCTGCAAAGCCAGAGGTGTTGCTCAGGCACAGAGGTCACTGCTGGCAGCTGGGCCAGCCAGAGCTCCTGGCAGTGGTGAAGCCTGAGGATGCTGACACCTGCCTGTTCTGGGGGAGGGGCAATCATCTGCGATCTGAATCTGTGCTTAAACTGTTTCATGAGGGAGAGAGCCCGGGCTGCAACAGAAACGAAGATTCCAGAGGGTCTTGGAGAGAAGGTTGGAGAAGCAGAGCTGGAGTCTCCAAGGCGAGCCTTGGCATGTCTCAGGCCTGCTGAGGACCTGGGATGGGAGCCAGGGGAACGTGGAGCCCCAGGTAGGATCTGGGGAGCCCTGAGTCCACTGTCTTGGCCCCCACAGAGCAGTGCTGGTGGCTCCAGGGATCCTCGCTGCTTAAAGCTGCCCTTTCTCTTTCCATCCTGTGAATAGCATCAAGCTATTTTGAAACCAGCATTCCTTAAAATAGTTCGGTTTAAAAAAAAGAGAAGTACCACCTCTTTATCAGCTATTTTTTAAGAGCAGACAACCAGTGAGCAGGGCCTGATGCTTGCAGGAGCCAACAGACCTTACCTGCCTAGGGATTTGCCCTCTCATAGTGTGTCCCCCAAACATGCCAGACACTAGATGGAATCTCTGTTTTAAAATAGGGAAGGTGTTTTTGCAGAAATGAGAGGATGCTTTTGCAAATGGCCACCAGAATTCTTCCCTGTTCAGGGCTGTCCTCTGGAGGCCCACTGAGCCACTAGAACAGCCTGTCTCACAGAACCTTCTGGGATGATGGCAAGGCTCTGTCTGTGTTATCTCCTTCAGCAGCCACATGTGCTACTGTGCATTTGACATGTGGTTAGTAGGACAAGAGAACAGAAATTCTAATTTCATTTAAATCTAATTACTTGAAATTTAAACAGCTACATGTAGCCACATGTGGCTGCCAAACTGGACTGTGCAGATTTTGAGCAAAGAAAAATAAAATCCTGATCTTGGGCAGGCTTCCTAGCCCCTTTGGGATGGGGCTGAGGTTGGAACATAGGTAGATGCAAAGGTATGCACTCAGATGCAGGCTGGAGTCCACAGAGAAAGCATGGATCGCTTCTTCACAACTCATGTCTTCTTTAGGAGCCAGTTGGAGTGGCAGAGCCTTTCAGTATGTCACATCTGTGTCCTGCCCTTTGCCTGTGGTAATGATCTTAACCTGGGTCATCAGAGCTGGAAGGAAGAGCTAGTATCTCAGAGCCACCTGTGTCAGCTTTCATGCCTGTGGACTCCCTTGCTCTCTGTGACACTCTTGGGGTTGGGAGGATCATACTATTTACCCCAATTTTCCTTAGCAAACTTTGCTACTCTGCCTGAGCTCCACAGCAAAAAGTGGCTGAGCCAGGATTTGAACCCAGGTCCCTGGAGGCCCATGATCCCTGGACACTTGGAGTGGTGTTTTTTCCCTAGAGAAGGCTGAGTTGCCCTGAACTTTCTCCTACATTCTTTCCCGGAGTTCCTGAGTGGCCGTGACCTTCACTGGGGAGAGTCCAGCAGACGACCCAGAGTGGAGGCTGTCGGTGTCAGAAGTGCTCTGCTCCCCTGGGGCTCCTGGCGGTGCGCCCACCCGTGACTGATGACGCAGCATCTCCGCCCTGACCCCTCCAGCCCCAGCCCGTGAACCTCTTGTTGAAAAGAACGACGAATAACAAGAACTGGGCTCTGCCATCGAAGGGACAATGTAAATTTTCCATTTTCTTCTTTCTTGGCCTGATTCTGTAGAAGTGGATTAAATGTAAATAAAGACTTACTGACTGAAGTGTGGGGAGATATTGGGAAGGGTTGTCCAATGGGGAAATTATTCTCCTGACAATTTTTTTAAAGCTACTTCTTGTTTAAAAAAAATTGAAACCTAGAACACCCTCAATTATAAAATCCATCCTTGTTCCTTATAGGAAACTTAGAAAACAAATCCAAAGAAAAAATATGCAAATATACATTATAACTGGACTCAAAGGATCTTCACTAAAGGCTTGGTATTTTCCTTTTTGATCATGTTTTATTCATGCACAATTTGTTTTGTTTGCTGTAATTATGACTATTGACTTTAGGGAGGTTATAGATTATGGTGGGAGGATTCAGATCCTCTCTGGGTCAAAGGAATAATTTAGATCACCACTTTTCAAACCTTCTGGGGTGAACCAGTTTTTAAACCTTCTAGCCCATTGCCAACCACATGTGGTCCTCCTACGTGAGACCAGGACACAGCACATGGTACCTGGCACCAGCCACGCCATCCCCCATCAACCGACTAGGGCTAAGCCGGATCTACCATATGGGCTTGGATATCACAGCAGCGTCCAGGTGCTATGAACATTTCCAAACATGTGCTGTCAATTTCTACACTTACGTCTTCTCAGTGGCACTGGCCAGAGCAGGAGTCTGCAAACTATGACCCTCAGACTAAGTCCTGTCCAACACTGGATTTGAGCTAATGATGGTTTTTACATTTTAAAGGGTTGGGGAAAAAAATCAAACTAAGAAAAGTACTTCACAAATGTAAAAATTCCATGAAACTGAAATTGCAGGGTCCATAAATAGAGCTTTACTGAAACACCCCTGCACCTATTTATTTACAGGTCATCTAGGCTGCTTTTATGATACACATGGCAGAATCGAGTAGTTAATGACAGACAGGTTGGCCTAATATTTAGGATCTGGCTTTTTGCAAAAGAAGTTTGGTGACTCCTGCTCTGGATCAATAGTTTCTAAGTTTGCTGTCTCTCACAATCCCTGGGAAACTTAAAAAAATCGTGTAGCTTGCCAGGCCCTCCGCCAGCCCTGTGGAATCAGTCTCTAGGATGTGGTCTGGGACTCTGTATTTTGAAGCCTCCCACCCTCTGCACCTGCCCACAGTGGTTCTGATGATCAGCGGCTCTGGAGGTTCCAGCCAGTTGTACCCCAGTTGTGCTTCTCTAGGCTCCACGCTGAGTACATGGGACAGGTCCTGATGCTCTGCTCAGAGCCTCCTCTGGGACAAAACCTCCAGTGTCCTGAGATGTGCGTTCTGCAACCACATTCCTGGCAGGTCCAGCCCTTCCCAGAAACACTGCTCTGATTCACAAGCTGGGCCCCGTGCTGGCCTCGTGCCCCTCCTGCCACACTCTCAGTGTCCCTCCTCCTGCCGTCCATGTCTAGATTTCTTGGCCTGCCTCTGTGGTGGCTGCACAGGGGCATCATGGCCCTGCATCCTGTGTGTTGGACAGTCTGGCTCACCCCATCTGGGCCCCACGCCTCTCCCACCCTCTGGTTTATGGTTCTGGCATGTGAATTGGAGTCCAGAGCCAACTGCACACATGGCCTGAGCCTGTTCTGCTGGGGAGTGGAGAGAGGTGAGTGGAGGGAGACTGACCAGGAAACAGGCCTGGCCCCTGCCTGGGTTCTTTCCCTCCTGAATCCCTCCTGACCCCCATCTTTATGTTCCTGACTCCTTTTCCATTTTCCTAGCCTCCCTGGCCCGTGAGCCCCAGCTCTGCCTTCTCCCTGTTTTTCTTCTCACCTCTCTCCTTCTTCCCCTCTTTCCCCCCTCTGACTCTGCTTTTCTCACTCCCTGGCATTCTTTGCCCTCCGGCCTCCGGTTTTCTAGTCAGACCCACTGCATCTAGGCAGAGGGAGCCACTTGCCTCTGAGAGCCAGCCCCTCCTCCAGAATGAGGCGATGTTCGATTATCTCCTTTGCTAACGGTGGCTCAGGCCTTTGGGCTGAGTTTATTCTAGGAAAATGTCTTCAGGCCCTGCCCTCAGGTTGCTCACAGTTTATGGGGGAGTTGGACAAGACACAGGTAATTTCAATAATGTCCTAAAGGGGGTTAGGATGAGGGTGCTGGGTAGGGCAGCGCTCAGCAAGATGCTGAGACTGGGTGTGGAGAGTTGGGGGTAACATCTGAGGGAAGCTGAAAGTGAGTTATGTTCAGGGTGGAGAGTGGTCCCAGGAAAAGGAGTGGCATACACGTATGGAAGCCCTTAACTAAAATCCGTGTGAAGGAGGACCAGGATCTGACTACACTTCAGAAACTCACCCTCATCTAGAGAAAGTGCACCTAGGTAGGCCAGCCTAAAGGCAGGAAGGCCACTGGAAAGCCACTGTGACCCAGAGAGGTGAGCCCTGAGCTAAGGCAGAAGTAGAGATGTTGGAGAGCATGCGGGAACTTTGAGGAATATTTAGGGCTTGGGGATGCGAGGCATGAGGGAGAGGAGAGGGTAAAGCATGATCTTCAGGTAGCTTGTATTGGTCAGTTACTTTTGTCGTGATGCTACACGAGAAACAACCCCACAGTCTCAGTGCTTTACATCAACAACTCTTTTATTTCAATCACATAAATTTTATGAATTTGAAATTATAATTGACTATAACAGAGACCTGAAAAATAGTGACTCAAATCCCCAAGTGCTTATTCTTTCACTTATTAAGAAGTTTAGAGGTAGGCAATCCAGGGCAGAACCCAACCTTGTTACACCTTTCTGCTCCATTGTCTGCAGTAAGTAGCTTCAACCCTGAGAGTGTCCTCATGGCCCAGTATGACTAATAGAGCTCCAGCCATTGTATGAACTGCAGGCTGGAGGAAGGAGGAACGGCCAAAAAAGTATTTCTCTCAATTGAGACAGATGCCTTTGAAGAAGGTTTCTTGGAAGCCCCACCAACACTAAGGCTTATATCTCAGTGTCACACATCCACATCTCTCTACAAGAGAGACCGGAAAATGTAGATTTAGCTGGATACAGTCCTTTCCTGAGTAAAATCAGGTTCTGTTATCAAGCCAGAAATGGAGACTAGATATTGAGTGGTGAACAGCATTTTCAATTACACCTCCATTTCCCCCACCTTACAAAACAGAGACGCAGTGTGGTATAGGAGAAAAACAAACCCTGTCAAGGCCCCTAGATTTAATTCCAAATTCCTCTACTTACTGGCTGTGGCATCTGGGCAAAGTCATATTACCTCTCTGAGCCTTTGGGTCCCTCTTCAGCAAAATGGACTATCGATCATATTTGCCTTCCAGCCTTATCCAAAGGGACCAAGAAGGATCAGGAATTCTATTAATTATAACACACTGTATGAAAATTAGTAACATTTATAGAAAAATGGAAAATAGAGCAAATACCTGTTTCAACCCAAAGGGGACACCTGATGGTCAGCTTCTCTCCAGACAGAAGTGATCCCTTGTTCCTGTCGCCATCCTTCCCCAGGCTGTCAGGTTTCCCACAGGGGTGGCTGGGGATGGCAATGGGCAGGACTCAGAGTGTGGATGGAGCTGAGGCAGATGGTGTCCTCAGGCCCAGGAGATGGTAGATGCCTCAGAAAGTGTCCCCTGTGGATGGCTCTCCTCGATCCAGTGGCTCACATCTGCTCCAGCTGGGCTGTCCCCTGGCACCCCTTCCCATGGCCTGTCTGGGGGGTAGGGGCTTCTCAGAGCATGGAGCTGGGTTCTGAGCCGGAATGGTCCAAGAACAAGTGTTCAAAGAGCCAGTGTCTCAAAAGAGGAATCTTTAAAAAGATTCTTTCAAAAGTTCGACCTGCATCCTGTTTTGTGAATTGCTTATTAACTGGCATTAATAAAGTATCTGTCAGTTTTGCATCTTAGAAAGTAGACCCGCAGTGAGAAACACCAGAGCCTGAGGCTTCAGAATGCTGACACAGGCTCCAGGTCGGCCAGCTCTCCAGGGTCCCTCAGGCAGTGACCGGGTGCCTGGGGGGCATTTCCGGGGGCAAAGGGAAACCACAGCTGATCATGGGGGCCACTTCATGCCCCACCATGAACAAGGTCTGGCACACAGCGCTCCTAATTTTTCTGACATCAGAAATAGGATGTTTTTATGGGTGTGAAAGTTCTCCAAATGTCAATTCTCACATATCAAGGACAAGATGGGGTCCAGGGCTCTGTCACTTTGCACTCAAGGGACCAAGTTGGTAAAGTTGGCATGAAGGGGCCATGGGGAATTCTTTGGCTTAGATGTGGCGATGACACAATGGAATAAATATAACTTTCCAATTTGCTTCAGAGTAACATGAAGAAGCCAGTTGGCAAACAACTCCTGAGCCATGGCTGTGTGGCCCTGGGAGACTCATTTAATTTCTCTGGAATCTAGCGATTCATACAGAAAATGAGGGCATTTGATTAATTAAATGGCTGATATGAGTCCCTGGCGCTGTCATACCCCCACACCCATGGCACGGGGCGCTAGTCAGCTATGGCCCTTTCCCTCTGAGCTATGTGTTGGCCTCAGTACTTCCAGCACAGTGATCCAGGCAGCCACTACTGAGCAGTCAGAGCAGCAGGAGGGTTGAAACCCATTTCCCATCCCTGGACTAAGGAATTTCTAGAGTTCCTTCTAATTTTGACTTGTTGGATTCTGTGAATTTGGATTCTTGTCAACCAGGGGTTGACAAATTATGCCTGCAGCCTGAATCCAGGTCCTTGCCTGTTTGTGTGATAAAAATTTCCCTTAGACACAGCCAGGCCCATGGCTTACGGTTGGGTCAGTGGCTGCCTTTGAGCTGCAGCAGCAAAGATGGGTAGTTGTGATAAGGACCGTGTGGCCTGCAAAGCCTGAGATACTCACCGCCAGGTCCATTATAGAGAATGTTTGCCACCCTCTGTCTTACACCTGTTTCCTTCACTCCGATCTTTTTTCCTGGTCATGAGTGAAACCCCTCTTTGTCCCTGAAGGTCTTGTGTGTCTGAGCAATGCTCCAGGGGCCTGTGGGTCCCTGGCATCTCTAAGTCAGCAGAGAGGAGACAGCCAGTGGGAAAATACAAGAGCGGAAGTCTTAGGTGTACGGTGGATGGAGACAGGTGGCAGATGGGAGCAAATGAAAGGAACAGGTGTGTCCAGACGAGGGTGCAGAGGCTTCCTCTCTGGGCCATCACGGAAGGGCTACCCGGTCAGCCTGGCCTGGTGTTTGGGTTGGGGGCTGAGTCAGCTTCTGCAGCTCTGTGCTCCAAGAACCCTGGGTGGCTGACTGCCCACTGGCTTCCACGAGTAGTTTGGCATGAAAAGTGCAGGCTTGGGCACTTGTATTGTTGCCTGAAGGAAACAACCGCCTCTTCCTGGTCTGTGAACAACCACTGCTGCTGCCTGGATGTGGCAGTCATGTTGACTTGCACACTTGGTTCCTGCCCAGGAGCTGGGCACTGGGCAGTGCTCCGTGGGCATGTGGGATGGGCTTCCAAATCCATTTTGGTGTGAGGCCTCAGTATCCATCTCCCCAGCAGTGAATGCTGTGATGAGCCTTCTGTGATTCTTGGTAGGTGTAGCAGGCTCCACACTCTCATCTCTTTTCTCCCTCCCTGGCCTACTGGGATCCCTTTTCCAGCTTTTGTGTGCTTTGTTGCTAATATTCACCTGTGGCCCTGGGGAGCTGCCCTTTGGCACTGGGCCTCTGTGCTCACACTGGCTGGATCTAAGTCTCCCTGAGGGCAGCCTGTAGCCAGTGACTGGTGGCAGAGGACAAAGCCCAGCTCCTTTCCTCCAGGTGTAATTCTGCCCCCAGCAACCTGTGGGACTTGGTTGGGACTGTCAAGCTTGCATACATACAGGACAGGCCAATACCAAGCCCCGGCTGCATCTGCTGATGAATACACAACATGCCACTTTAAGATTCAGGCAGTTCATTACTCACATAGACAGCGAAAAGAATAGTAAGCCAAAGATGCCAGCTCCCCAGGTCCTTATCCCGCACAGCAAAAAGGAGGCACCATGCAACAGAAGCCAGATGACTACAACATGCCTTTTTGCTGAAGAGCCCAGCTGAAGTTTGGGGACAGGCCAAGAAGCCGGGAGACTCATCCTTCCGCAGCTCCATGGAGGTGGGGGAAACCCCCACCGATGGCCCAGGTTGGGGGCAGCAGGGAGATAGGGAGGCCAGGGGATAGCCTGGAACTCTTCCCGGCCCCTCAGCTCCCCAGCAGGACTGGTATTCAGGGTGTCAGATCCCTGTTGCTGCTCTAATCCGTCACAGACTTGTTGGCTTAAACAATACAGATTTATTCTCTAACAGCTCTGGAGGCCAGAAGACTGAAATGGATTTTTCTGGGCTAAAAACAAGGGGCTGCTGGCTCACACTCCTTCCAGAGGCTGCAGCGGAGAATCTCTCTCTTTGCCTTTTCTGGCTTCTGGAGGCCGCCTGAATTCCTGGGCTCGTGGCCGGGCCAGAAACAACACCCCATGACCCCCGCTTCCATTGCCCCACCACTTTTTCCTCTCACCCAGATCCTGTGATTACATCCCGCCAACCAGATAATCCAGGATAATGTCACCATCTCTAGATCCTTAACTTAATTCATCTGCAAAGCCTTTCTGCCACCTAAGGTGGCATAGTCACAGGTTCCAGA